CCATGGGCCGCATTCCTCCAGTGCCTGGCCTAGAGCGCGTCCTCTCCAGCTGAGCAAGGGTTCTCCCTGTTCCCCCAGACTCACGCTCCTTGAAATGCAGCTCAGTTTCTTGCACTTTTGCCTCGGATTTAGACATGTAAAGTGTGTGAACCTCCCTATGCAAATTAAGATTTGAATGTCATCTGCTTCACAGTTCTAGCCGTCAGTTTTTAAAATAGTCATTTTATGTGATTTGAGAAAGAGATTAAGACTACAAACTTACAGCCGAGTTTTTCCCTAGCAGACAGCAGCTGTTCAAACAGAAACAGGAGTCTGGGAGCTTTGAAGAGCTGTGCTGTTGTGCTGCGGCTCAGCTCAGTAGGTGGAGGCTCCCAGGATGGAGAAAGACTCAGCATGGGCGAGTCTGTGGGCCAGCAGACAGTGGCTTCACGTTCTGCCTTCACCTGTGAACCTAGAGGACAGAATGATGGAAAGGGACGATGGTGAGGCAGCGAAAGCAGGACTAGCATTAGTCAACACCCCACTCCGTGACTGTGGCCGTGTGCAGTTAGCCTCACTGGGCTTTTGTTCTTAACCAAAACTACAGAACATTTGTATAGAGAGCTTTATAGGCTGAAATACCAGTAAACAGCTGAGGAAAAATTAACACCAGCAGAATTGTAACTTTTAAAAAGTAAGATGACCTGTTAGGGACTTTCTGTGGACTTACAGGGGTCCTGAGAAATCATGCCCCGCTGCCTGACCTTTGACCAAACAGTAATCACAGTTGCTCATTTTCCCCGGGTCAGTGATGAGCCAAACTCTTCAGACAAGAGGGAGGGGCAGTTCTCATTATCTGTCACTCCTTCCCTGTTTTTTTAGCACCGTCTTAAAAATTATTATGGCAAAGGTACCAGCATTTATTTTGCTGCTGTATCATCTTACATGGACTACATGCTACACAAGCTAAATTAAATCAGTGTGTCTCCCCCTTCCCCAGAGTAAGCTTTCACTGACATGGGCAAGTAAATAAGCGCTGCAGCCTAATTGATTTAATATAAAATCCTGTGTTGGTATTCTTGACCCACTCTTAGAAGAGGGGATTTCCTGGTCACATTGCCCCAGATACTTATTCCTTTGAGACCCTGCAGGCATCACTTCTCCAGGCCGAATAATTTCAGCCCTTTTGCTCCCAGGTTCTAGTGTTCCATCCTTTAATCTTTCAAGTCTTCTCACTCCTTCTTGGACGAGAATGAACTCATCTGAACGAATGTGCTACCTGGTTTGAAAGCACACTGCCCTCCCTCACCTTCCTGATATGCCAGCAACTGTGTTCCATGTTCATCTAACAATGCTACCTGGCTATTTACTTGCAGGCTCATTTCCACTGTCGTGAATCCCACAGATCATTTATTTATGTGCTGTGTGAACAGCCTGTTTCTCTTCTTGTCTATTTGCCTTTTCTGTAGACATGTTTGGTTTGTTTCTGAGTAAAGTAGCCTTGACCAAATGGACTACAGGGCCATTTGAGCTCATTATTTTATATGTGATTGACAGATGGTTAAATTTTTCAGTGGGGTATTATGCATTCTTTAGGCTGTGTTATCAGTGTGCTGACACTTCAGAGAGTAAGTAAGATAAGGACCAGTGGTGGAGTTGGGGATGGATGAGAATCACAGCTCTTCTACCATTTATTACTGTAACGAGATACCTAACCTATCTTAGCCTCTGTTACCTCATATGTTAGATGAGAATAATGATATCCATGTGGGAGAGTAGAGCAGATACTCTACTTCACTGTATCTAGCAGATACAGTGAATTCAGGTATGTGAGCATTTGATGTGCTTGCTGTTGGAATATAGTTTTTCAGACAAGTTTTTTTTTGTCATGATTGGTGGTAATTATACATATAAAGGTAACAGCTTATTTTCATCTAGTTGAAGGTCTGTATGAGTGGTTTAAGTTTTTGGTACAAAGACACATGAGACACATATTTATGTTAATTTTATATAGCATGTGTCATCAACTGCTATATAGAGATAGACACTATGAAAAGCAGAACTAGGAGTGAGGGGTAGGGGGCAAAGGATAAATCCAGAATGTTTGCTTTTCAGATAGTTGGACTAAAGAGGAATGGGAAATTAGAGGGAAGAAGTGTCTGATGTTTCGGCGGCCAGTCAGGTTGTGCTGATTGAAAACTGGAAACAACCTTGTTAAAAAGTGGGCAAAGGACACGAACAAATACTTTTCAAAAGAAGACATACTTGGCGGCCAATGTTGAAAAATGCTTAACATCACGAACCATTAGAGAAATGCAAATCAAAACCACGAGATACTTTCTCACGCCCGTCAGAATGGCCATTATTAAAAAATCAAAAAATAATAGATATAGGCATGGTTGCAGAGAAAAGGAAACACTTATACACTGCTAGTGTGAGTGTAAATTATTTTGGCCATTGTAGAAAACAGTGTGGCAATTCCTCAAAGAATTTAGAACTACTGTTTGACCCAACAATCCTATTACTGGGTATATACCCAAAGGACTATTTGTTCTACCACAAAGACACATACACGCATATGTTCACTGCAGCACTGTTCACAATAGCAAAGACATGGAATCAACCTAAATGCCCATCAGCAGTAGACTGGATAAAGAAAATGTGATACATAGATACCATGGAATACTATGCAGCCATAAAAAAGAACAAGATCATGTCCTTTAGAGGGACATGGATAGAGCTGGAGGCCACTATCTTTAGCACACTAACGCAGGAACAAAAAACCAAATACCGTATGTTCTCACTTGTAAGTGGGCGCTAAATAACAAGAGTACATGGATACTGGGAGGGGGAACAACTTGAGGGTGAAAGGTGGGAGGAGGGAGAAGATCAGAAAAAATACCTATTGGGTACTGTGCTTATTACCCAGGTGACGAAATTATCTGTACACCAAATCCCTGTGACACACAGTTTACCTGTATAACAAACCTGCATGTATACTCCTAAATCTAAAAGTTAAAAACAAAAATAAAACCATTTTTTTGTGACTTGAACTCTAAGTTACGAATATTGTCTTAGGGGGCTCAGGGGTAAAGGGACAGGAGCGTATCTTTAAGATTAAGGAAGATTTGGGTCCTAATAGAGCCTCTGTCCTAAGCTGCATTTTTAGGGGTTGATGGTAGCAGAGAAATTGTTCTGTGTATTTTTTGTGTGTTGGTTTGCCCTGTCTTCAGCAGTGATTATGTCTTTCTGTAAGTTAATAGGCCCCCTCTCTGGGGCCTACCCCTGTGTGGAATCATCCCATAAGGAGACACATCCTGGAAGTGTCCCAGAAGCCCCTAGACTTGAGTTTTCCAGACCATGGCCAACAAACGGCCTTCCACTGGGGGCTGTGGCCATCATCCACCCTGCAGCTGCCTGGCCTCATGTGACAAAAAGAGAAGATGAATGATCTTCAGCCTTGAATTTTGCTTTGAAGTTGAAACCAGGATTAGCTGAACCTGAAACTTGTGTCTTCATGTTTTCATATGTTCCTTTTATCTTGATGTTTGTCACTAAAGTGTCATGAAAATTCTGTTCCTATCTGTATTTATGTAAAAGATCTGGTAGGCCAGGTGCACTGGCTCATGCCTGCAATCATAGCACTTTGGGAGGCCAAGGCGGGTGAATCACAAGGTCAGGAGTTCAAGATCAGCCTGGCCAACATAGTGAAACCGCGTCTCTATTAAAAATAGAAAAATTAGCCAGGCGTGGTGGTGCGTGCCTGTAACCTCGGCTACCTGGGAGACTGAGGCAGGAGAATTGCTTGAACCCAGAAGGCAGAGGTTGCGGTGAGCCGAGATTGCACCACTGTACTCCAGCCTGGGTGACAGAGCGAGTCTCCATTTCAAAGAAAAAAAAAAGATCTGGTGTTTCCACTTGTGATATTTGAAACCCCTCAAGACCTCATTAAATTGGTGTTCTATGTGTCTGGATCAGAATGAACAAATCTCTCGCTGCTTCTCCATCATGACCCTTCACCTATCTTTCTTCCTTGGCTAGATGACACCCCTGAGCTTTGGATTTTTTTTTAATTATTATTATTACAAGAATTTTCTAAATTGCATATCTGCATTTTGGCCTGCTTTTCAGAGATAGTGATGGCCATGACCCTAGCGAGGCTGCCGTAGGAACTGTGTTCTCCTCAGTCACCTTTCCAGAGAGCTTCTTTCCCTGCCCTGTCAGTGCCAAGGGTGGCTGAAAATGCAGTGACTGTGGGTTATAACCTGTGATGGCCCCAGAAGGGCTGTGACTCCATCACCTCCTGTAATCCTCACAGAGCCCCCATTTGACTCATAAGAAAAGAGGGGGGGTGTTTAGGAGTTAGGGAATAGTCCCCAAGTCACACAGCTGGTAAGCCCAAGTCCAGTGTTGATTTGACTCTGGACAGAAGGGAAGGGCCATCTGGTCTACCTCATCACCACCTCCCCAAGCCATGGGAACCAGCCCTGAGTAATTTGGGAATCCAGATAACCAGCACTTCAGTAAGGAATATGGGTTACTGCACCACAAGGTAATGCCTCTGCTAGTAGAAACCTTACTACCCAAGGGCTCAGTCAGGTTTCATGACCCCAAATGAAATGAGATATAATACAGGTGAGTGAACTTTATAAAATTATTCCAGTGCTTTAATGCTCTGGCCTGGGGACCTAATTACTTTTATTTTGTTTTATTATTGAGATGAGAATCTCGCAATATTGCCCAGGCTGGTCTTGAACGCCTGGCCTCATGCAGTCCTCCCACCTTGGCCTTCCAAAACGCCGAGATGACAGGCTCATGCCACCATGCCCAGCCCTCTAACCAATTTTTAATAAACATACTGAATTTTCATAATATAGTGTCTAACATTCTCTACTGTGCTTTTAAAACCAGTATGCTCAAAACAGCTTAGTTTATTTTGCTCAAGACAAGTGTGCATTATTCCTTCTTGCTTCCCACAAGAGTAAAAGTTTACGCATTGTCTTCCCCTCACTACCTGCCAGCGCCCCATCATCTCCATCTGCTGGGGTCATCGGGACTCGAGGCTGTTGATGGCATCGGGACCAGCCCTGTACGTGGTACGTGTGGAGCACCGGGTGTCCAGCCTGCAGCTGCTATGCCAGCAGGCCATCGCCAGCACCTTGCGTGAGGACAAGGATGTCAGCAAGCTGACCCTGCCCCCCCGCCTCTGCTCCTACCTCTCCACTGCCTTCATCCCCACCATCAAGGTAAAGCCCTCCACACCTTCCTCTTCTCCCTCCCTCCCCTGTGCCGGCTCCTCACAGAACCAGGGCAGAGACAGGCGAGGGTACCAGAGCAAGCACACAGGGGGTCACGTGCAGCTGTGCAGGGTCCTGTCATGTGCTGCCAGGTCTGCAGTCTGTCCAAACATCATGGTCCATGTCCACGAGAGATTCATTCTGTGTGGTGGCTCTTGTCTTTCTCATAGCAAAGCTGGTATTCCTGGCATGATTTCTGTGTCCCTCTGAAAATCAAAGGGGTGACCATTTCTTCAGCATTTCCTATATACTAAGCATTGCACCTGTTAATTTTTTAAAATCTGTCTTGTTCAGTCCTGACTTCCTGACAGATGCTGCCATTATTCCCACTTAAGAAAGCAGGAAACAAGTTAGGAGAAGTTAAGTAACTTGCTCCCTAGCTAGTGGAGGGAAAAGTCAGGATCAGACACAGCTCACTTCTAGGACCTGCTCTCAGCACTGTGCTGAGGAGAGCCACCCCACCCAGCACTCAAAGTCAGCCACCTTTTATACCAGTGGGAACTCTAGAAGGTAGCGTGTAGAATGTACCTGTTCAAGTGTGGGTCCCCCTAACCTTGGGTTTTCCCAAGGGATTCTCTTTTGTATTCTGTCTGTCTCTGCTTCTGAGTAGCAGACCCATTTGTTGGTTACTTTTCTCCTGAAACAAAGTTTTCCTAAATCAAAGTTTTAGAATCTGTTGGGGTTTTTTAGAAATATTTATTTATTTGTTTATTTATTTTGCTCATGACATAGCACTCAGGAGGTCCTGAGAACATGTGCCCCTTTAAAGTCTAATTTTCTTTTTTCTTTCTTTCTTTCTTTTTTTTTTTTTTTTGACACAGAGTCTCACTCTGTAGCCCAAGCTGGAGTGCAGTGGTGCAGTCGTGGCTCACTGCAACCTCTACCTCTGGGGCTCAAGCGATTCTCGTGCCTCAGCCTCCCGAGTTGCTGAGGCTATAGGCGCGCCACCACACCCTGCTAATTTTTTGTATTTTAGTAGAGACGGGGTTTCACCATGTTGCCCATGGTGGTCTCGAACTCCTGAGCCCAGGAGATCTGCCCACCTTGGCTTCCTAAAGTGCTGGGATTACAAGTGTGAGCCACCACACCTGGCTGGTTTTTTTTTTTTTTCCAAGTTGCCTTATACAATTGGTTCTACACAAGCGGATCTCAGCCCTGGTGTATTACACAGCATCGGAAAACATGCCCAGGGCTCCCCTATGGATCCTGATTTCATTGTCTGAGGTGGGATCCTGGCTTAGATATGTTTTGAAAGCTCCCAGGAGATTCTCACATGCACCTACCATTGTAAATCACTGTTCTGCAGCACATAGGTAGCCTGTCCCCAGGGCCCCAGCCTGTGCTTTCTCTGGAGCAGTGGCGTTTTTAGCTGACCTGCCTCGTGCTGCTCTCTCCCTCTCTGCCTCTCTGGAGTCCCATCTCTTCCTTTTCTTCCCGTATCCTCCAGCCCCCAATTCCAGATCCTAACAACATGAGAGACTTCGTCAGCTACCCCTCAGCCGGCAACGAGCGTCTCCACTGCACCATGAAGCGCACAGAGGACGACCCGGAGGTGGGTGGCCCATGCTACACACTCTACCTGGAGTACCTGGGCGGGCTCGTGCCCATCCTCAAAGGGCGGCGTGTCAGCAAGCTGCGGCCGGAGTTCGTCATCATGGACCCGAGGACAGATAGCAAACCAGGTGGGCCCCTTGCCCGAGGGACTGGGACCTTGTTCTTCTGTGGGCATGGGCTGTTAGGCCTTACACACCATGCAAAGAGAATGCCTGCTAATGGAATGTGAGCCTGTGGTGGCTAGTGTGGAACATCCTTGAAGCTACAACATTTCCAAAATCCCATTGAAATGAACAGTTCTCTAAAGGTACTTTTTGACAGGTTTTTAATCATATTCCATGAGCAGTGAATAGCTGGGGATGTGGGTAGAGGAACCATCGGCTCTCAGGCCAGAGGAAGCTGGCACAGGCCTCCTGGGAGTGAGGGTTTCCTCTTCACAGTTACTGAGTATTCATCGAGTGCCTTTATGTAATATTGAGGCAACTTGAAAATAATAACAAGATGCAGTCCCTGCCCTCCCAGAGTGGATGATGAAATTAAAATCCAAACCTTCAGCCTTCTGCCCCTCCCTAATCCAGTGTTAACTGCCTTTAGCTGATAACTAATGACAATCACCCTGTCCTTCTAAAAACCTTTCCCTGCCAGGTGTGGTGGCTCACGCCTGTAATCCTAGCACTTTGGGAGGCCGAGGTGGGTGGATCACCTGAGGTCAGGAGTTCAAGACCAGCCTGGCCATCATGGTGAAACCCCATCTTTAAAAAAAAAAAAAAATCCCTTTCCCTACACTGATTTTCATTGCTCAGTTAATGTATTCAGGATGCTCCCTGCTCACTTCTCTGGGATCCTAGATCATAAGCTTCAGAGGGAAGGGACTGTGCTTTAGTGTGTATGTGTGCCACTTGGTGCTAGCCTAGTGTCCGTGCACCCATCAGTCACTGCCGGCTCAGTCTGCCACCTCCCTGTGAAACTTTGCCCATCACCTACTGCAGAATGAACAGCACACTTAGTCATTGTGCTCCAGGCTCTGCCCCGATGAATTCTGTGGGCCTGGGGGGAGGGAACTGAGTCGTCTTTGTGCCCCCAGTGGAACTGGATTTGTTTGCATTAGTTCATGCTTCCTCTTGCCACTTCCTCACTCCAGTTCACTCCCCTGCCCATTAGTCTAGGCCCTGTCTCTCATTACAGCCTGGAGCTAGTGTGACATGTGGCCTGACCAGTCATCCCAAGTCACAGTGTGGTGGGCTTGCTCACTCTCAGCCGGTACTCAGTGCTGTACACAGTTGCCCCACCTCTGCCTGGCAGCCTTTATTTACTCAGCGTCTGCAGTGACACTCTACTACCCATGCTACCGTGAGAAATTGAAAGCAGTGACACTACTTGTCAATATTAGCTATTAGTCTGTTTTTTCTCTTTTGATTCCTGTGACAAGCTAGTACCAAAAACAAAGAAAGCAACCAGTATAATTGGGGCTGGTAGGGAGGCAGACTGAAAGGAGGGAGAGGACAGATTCAGGGAGGGTGCAGTGGGAAAAACAGGAGAGAGAGAAGCAGATGTTCATAGGAGGAAAACATGGTTTCAGGGGAAAGGAGAAGGGCTACTGATGGTTAGAGATGGCTGGGGTGGGGGCCGTGGGGCAGGCCCTGAGCCCAGGTTTGCAGCAGGTGTTCTCACGATGTCTAAGGTTCTTCCCCGGGTACAATTTTATAAAATCTATATTGAGATTAAATATTGACGATAATGTAGGTGAAGAGCTTGTTTATTTCCCCGTGCGTGCATAAATCCTTCACTGAAGAAGTGGGCAGGGCAGGAGACTGTGCTGTGGAGCACCCAAAGACGAGGCCTGCGTGAAGCCTGACCCGGCCACCCCACATGTCTTCTTCCTTCTTGTTCATGTTTATCAGCTCGTATCAAACACGGACCCACTCGTTGCCTACAGTCCTTCGGGGGAATAAGATGTTCTATTTTTATAATTAAAAGCTATCAAGCAAAGCACATTGACAGATATTTTGTCAGTGCCTACCTTGTGTGGGGTTCTTGAGTCTCCTATTATTAAGCAATACCAGGCCATCTCTGCTTTCAAGGAGTTTCGAAACTCTTTTGGGTGATAAGACAATGTAAGCACTTGAAAAGTTTAATTAAAAAAATCAAGATTTAAATACCTGATGACACAAATAGAAGATAGGTCACAAGGCACGATATGACTAATTGCCACCTGAATGGCATATACAGACTGTTTCAGAGGAGGAAGAGAGTCCTGACATTGAGAAACCAGGAATTGGCTTTTTCTTTTTGTTGAGGGGACAGGCTCTTGCTCTGATGCTCAGGCCACAGTGCAGTGGTGCCATCACAGCTCTCTGCAGTCTCGACCTCCCAGGTTCCAGCGATCCTCCCACCACATCCCCTGGGCAGCTGGGGCTACAGGTGTGCACCACACTCGCTAATTTTTGTATTTTTTGTAGAAATACAGCTTCACCATGTTGCCCGGGCTGATCTCAAACTCCTGGGTTCCAGCAGTCCTCCACTTTGCCCACCCAAAGTGCCAAGATTTACATGCATGAACCACTGTGCCTGTCCAGGAATTTCTTATCATTAAAAGCTGATTAATTCATTCAGGCTGCCATATCATTGTTTCTCAAAATGCGTTCCATGCACCACCAGCTCCATGCAGATCTCCTGGGATGCTTATTTAAATAACAGGTTCCTAGGCTCACCCTTTGATTATGATTCATTAGGGCCAGGTGGGGCCTAGAAACATGCAACTTAATGGGTTTCCCAGGTGATTTTTATACACTGAAGTTTGTGATCCACTGTCAAGTGCCTTAGCAGATATGTTCCTCAAAATTATCAGTGTGTATATTTTTAGTAGATACCTTGAGTCCCAGTATTTTTTTTTTTTTCGGACAGGGTCTTACTCTGTCTCCCAGGCTGGAGTACAGTGGTACAATCATTGCTCATTGTTGCCTTGCACTCCTAGGCTCAAGCAACCCTCCCACTTCAGCTTCCCAAGTAGCTAGGATTTCAAGTGTGCACCACCACATGTGACTAATTTATTTTATTTATTTTTGTGGAGATGGGGGCTCCCTGTGTTGCCCAAACTGGTCTCAGCCTCCTGGATTCAAGATCCTCCAATGCTGGCCTCCCATAGTGCTGGAATTATAGGTGTGAGCCACCATGCCCAGCCACTTCCCTCTACCACTGCCACCTCCCCACCTTTTTTTTTTTTTTAAAGAGACAGACTGGAATGCAGTGGTATGATCATAGCACACCTTGAACTTCTGGATTCAAGTGGTCCTCCCACCTCAACCTCCCCAGACTATAATAGGCACGCACCATCACACTTGGCCAAGTTTGTTTTTTGTAGAGACAGGGCCTCACTATCTTTCACAGGCTGGTCTCAAACTTCTGATCTCAAGAAATCCTCCTGCCTTGGCCCATCAAAGTGCTGGGATTTACAGACATGTGCTATTGCACTTGGCCCACACATTTTCTAAAGGAATATTTAGCCAGAGCTTGCTATGGACTGAATCATGTTCCCCTAAAATTCATATATTAGAGTCCAGACCCGCAATGTGAAGGTAGAACATTTAGGGGAGATCAAGGTTAAAGGAGTTCCTATGTGTGGGTCCTGATCTGATTTAGTTACTGGCCTTATGAGAAGAGAAGTAGAAAGAGATTTCTCACCATGCAGAGCACCAAGAAGAAGACATAGGAAGACACAGCAAGAAGGTGGCTATCTGCAACCAGGGGCAAAGCCTGTACCAGGAAGCGGGTGCCGGCACCCTAACTTTGGGACTGCTCACCCTCCATAATCTAATGGGCCAGTTAGAGAGAGAGAGAGAGAGAGAGAGAGAGAGAGAGAGAGTGTGTGTGTGTGTGTGTGTGTGTGTGTGTATGCGTTCGCACACACATAATACTGATTTGTTTGTTTTTTTTCTGGAGAACCCTGACTAATACAGATTTCGGTACCAAGAAATGGGTATTGTTGTAACAAGTCTCTAAACATGTGGAAGAAGCTTTGGAACCGGGTAACGGATCAAGGCTGGCAGAGTTCTGAGGTGGATGCTAGAAATACAAATGCCAAGGGCAATTCTGGTGTGGTCTGAGTGGGAAATGAAGAACACGTGGAACACTGGAGGAAAGGCGGTCCTTGTTATAAAGCAAAGTATTTGGGTAAACTGTGTTCCAGTGTTTCGTAGAAGGTAGAACTTGCAAGTGATTAAATTGGATATGTAACTGAAGAGATTTCTAAGATGTATTGAAGGAGCAGTTTGGTTCCTCCTGATAGCTTATAGTAAAATGCAAAAGGAGAAAGATGAATGGAAGAAGGAATTATTAAGATAAAAGATGAAGATTTAGATTTAGAAAATGTTTAGGCTATTCATATTGCAAAAAAAAAGTACAGAATACATTTTGAAGAAAATATCAAAGTTGTGGCTGGACTGTCATTCGATAAAGAGCTTATGAAACTATATGAGCAGAGATAGCTGCGGGTTTGAACTGCAGTGGGTGGAAGCAGGATGGGAGGAAGGAAGGCTGTTGGACTTGTTGTATTTGACCAGCTGGGATGATGGAGCTGTTTGGCCACTAACATGCACTGTTCTTCAACAAGAGGAAAAAATAACCATGCAGGTGATTCAGAGATCATCAGGTCCACCTCCTCGGATTCAGCAGGCCAGATGGCCTTTGCACAGAGCCTTGGGGACAGGACCCCTGCCAGAGCTGTGAGGGTGATGCTGACACCCCAGTAGGCCTGGAGGACAGGATATCGAACCAAAGAGGACCTCTACTCAAGCCTCAGAATCCAGTGTAATTTTCTTTGCCAGATTCTGGATTTGCTTGGAAACTGTCACCACTTCCCTACTTCCAGTGTCTCCTCTTTGGAATGGGAATGTCTATCCTATGCCTGTCGCACCATTGTATTTTGGAAGCACATAACTGGTTTCACAGGTTCACAGCTGGAGACCAATTTTGCTTCAGGATGAATTGTACCTCAGGTCTCACCGAAGTCAGATTTAGGTGATATTTAAATGAGACTCTGGACTTTAGAGTTGATATTGGAATAAGTTAAGACTTTGGGGGCTTTTGGAATAGAAGGAATATATTTTGCATGTGAGTCTGAGAGTGGCCAGGGGTAGAATCCTGGGGACTGAATTGTGCCCCCATGGCACTCCCAAAATTCATACTGGGAAGCCCTAACCCCCAGCGTCACTGTATTTAGAGACAGGACTTCTGGAGGGGGAGGTTAAAATTAAAGAAGGTCATAAGGGTGGGGTCCAAATCTGATAGGACTGTTAGCCTTTTAAAAAGACAAGGAAAGAGACATCTTTCTTCATGCACATATACTGAGGAGAAGCCAACTGCAAGCCAAGGAGAAAGCCTTCCCCAGAAACCAGCCATGTGAGGAAACAATTTCTATTATTGTAGCCGCCCAAGTCTATGGGATTTTGTTACAGTAGTCTGAACAGGTTGAGAGTGTATACTTAAAAGCCATTAAAACAGTTTTTAAAAATTTTATTTTAAAAAAATGTCTAATTCAGGAAGCTGGACGTGGCGGCTCACCCCTATAATCCTAGCACTTTAGGAGTCCAAGGCGGGAGACCAGCCTGGGCAACATGGTGAAACCCCGTCTCTACCAAAATACAAAAAATGGCTGGGTGCAGTGGCTCAGGCCTGTAATCCCAACACTTTGGGAGGCCAAGGCTGGCGGATCATTTGAGGTCAGGAGTTCAAAACCAGCCTGGCCGACATGGTGAAACCCTGTCTCTACTAAAAATATAAAAAGTAGCCGGGCATGGTGGTGGATGTCTGTAATCCCAGCTACTCAGGAGGCTGAGGCAGGAGAATTGCTTGAACCCGGGAGGTGGAGATTGCAGTGAGCCGAGTGCCACTGCACTCCAGCCTGGGCAACAGCTAGACTCTGTCTCAAAAAAAAAAAAAAAAAAAAAAAACCACAGAGTAGCTGCAACACTAGAAAAATGGCAGAGCAAGAGCAAAGAAAAATCCCTTTGGTTCCAGAAAATCTCCTGAAAAAGAGAAAGGCTTATCAGGTGCTCAAAGCCACCCAGGCAATGCAGACACTTTTGGCAAAGAAGGAGCAGAGGAAAGGAAAAGGGCCCAAGTTTAAGTGACTGGAATCATTCCCACATGATCCCCAGTGTACACATGACAAGGTGTGGGTCAGACAACTAGAAGGGAATACCTCACGCCTTGGAATTGCCAGATAAACATTCCTTGGCCTTTGTTTTATGCATCGAAAGGATTGATGGCGTGAGTTTACTGGTGCAGAGAACCATTGCAAGACTTCGCCTAAAGAAAATTTTTCATGGTGTCTTTGTAAAAGTCACCCCCCAGAACCTAAAAATGCTGCATATAGTGGAACCTTATGTGACCTGGGGATTTCCAAATTTAAAGTCTGTCCAGTAACTCATTTTGAAATGTGAACAAGCCAAGCCCAAGAATAAGGCCATCTCTCTAACAGACAACACAGTGATTGAGGAGCACCTGGGGAGGTTTGGTGTCATTTGCTTGGAAGACCTCATTCATGAAATTGCCTTCCTGGGGAAGCATTTCCAGGAGATCTCATGGTTCTTATGCCCTTTCCATCTCTCAGTGCCTGTCATGCTACCAAAAATAGAATAGTCTTCCTCAAGGAGATGGGCACACCTGGCTATCAGAGTGAACGCATCAATCAGCTCACTGGCTGGCTGAACTAGACCCAGGTGCCCAACTGCAACAAATTTTTATCAGTTAAGTGGAAGCATGTGTTTTTGGTTTTTTGGGAATTTTTATCAAGTATCTTCAGAGAAGATTATTTCCTGCTTTATCTTCAAAAAACTGGAAAGGAAGGCTCAAAGAAAAGACAATGGCTGGCTGGGTGAGGTGGCTCACACCTATAATCCCAGCACTTTGAGAGGCTGAGGCAGGTAGATCAGCTGAAGTCGGGAGTTTGAGACCAGCCTGACCAACATGGTAAAACCCCGTCTCTACTGAAAATACAAATATTAGCCAGACATGGTGGTGCATGCCTGTAATCCCAGCTACTCAGGGGGGCTGAGACAGAAGAATCGCTTGAACCTGGGAGGCGGAGGTTGCGGTGAGCCAAAAACGCACCATTGCACTCCAACCTGGGCAACAAAAGCAAAACTCTGTCTCAAAAGAAAAAAGCAAAGAAAACACAGTAGCTGATGTTCATGGCAAGCACCCTTCATCACAGTCCACTTCTAAGGGAAAATCCCCGCATTTTCTATATTGGCTGCCGCCTCGTCTGAAATCAACACATTCCGTGAAAGAAGGAGTCCTGCTTTGTGACATCTTCTGTCCTCAGGCTTCATGTTGGTAAATGAGTAACTCTAGCATTTGTACAGTGTTCCCTAAGACTCCTGCAGGAGTCATCTAAGCCCAGGGACATAATTGAATCTGGAGATTCTTGGGGCCTTGTTGTAAAAAAAGACTTGAAATACACATAGGAAGAAAGGCACAAAAATAAATGTTCACTTGTCTCTTAGAAAAAAAAAAAAAGAAAAATTAAAGGAAAACACAAAGCCTTCAACCCAGAAAAAACGAGCAGATTCTTGAAAATTGACAGAACAGAGATATAAAGCCCCAGAGATTGTAGTTAAGCCTTAGATTCTCAAAGACCAATCCCAACTTACGTTTTTCTACAACTTAGATGTTTTTTCCAGAACGTCCGTGATAAATTGCTGACACAGAATCTCTAGAGGTATGAAGTACACCCAGCCACCACCTCGGCCTCCCCAAATGTAGAGCTAATGTCGTGCACGGAATTTCTAGTGCTGAAGACAGATGTCAGAGTGGCAGTGCCTGCACGCGTGGAATTACGACACTGAACAAGCGGGGCCTAGACATATTTCCAGAAAGCCTGTTTTATGTCACCCCTAAAATCATCATTCTTTCAGAAAGTATTTATCAAGTCTCAGGTATTTTTCTAGTCTCTGGGGTTAAAGCAGGAGGCAGGACAGATGACTTTCCTTCCCTTGTGGAATTTGCACTGGTTGCGGTGACAGACAATAAAATAGTAGTTATGGCCGGATGCAGTTGCTCAGTGCTTGTAATCCCAGCACTGGGAGGCTGAGGACAGAGGATCACTCAAGTAAAGGAGTTTAAGACGAGCCTGGGAAACATAGCAAGACCCCATCTCTATAAAAAAATAAAAGAGTAGTTATGAGTGAAGGGATACAGGAAATGACCTGGGACATGGTATTTGAGGGATCCTGGCATTGATGAGTGAGTCAGGAGCTGAGTGGGCTGTGTCCTACTGGGTTTCCTCGAGTCACACACACAGGCACATTCTGTAGACTTGCGTGCGTGCTTCAGTCATGACTGAGATTCCTTTGATCCAGTGACTCCTAAATTAAATCATGTGAAACAGTGCTCAGAGCTCATCCATTCCTTTTTATTTGCTTGAACCCAAGCACACACCACTGTGGCTTCACTAAGGCTCGCTGGATCCGGGTGCCCTGCCTCCTGATTCAGTGAGTGCTTTAAGAAGGGGGTGATGTGGGGGACACAGCCTGGGGCCAGCCTCCTTTCCAGGGAGCTTGTGTTGCCAAGCTTTTCTGCCCCTGTTCACAGATGCCACCAACAAATGCTCAGAAACTTCTAGATGGTTTGGATTAAGAAACGCATCCTTTAGAATATAAACAGCCCTTTTGGATGGTAAAATCACTCACATGAATTATTTCATTGTGATTAAATGATTCCGCTTTTTTATTACCTGGCAAGGCCCTTAGAGCCTTGAGGCAATGAGATTTTCGTCAGCAAAACAAAGTAATCTGGAAGGATGGGGTCCTCACATTGAGGAGAGACCTGGGGCGTAGAGGGGGATGTGTGGAGGATTTGGGTGGTGAGGGAATGTGATAGCAGGTGGGGATGGGCAGCAAGGGAGAGGAATTCCATGGAGGAGGAACGTTGCCCCACAGTTTTGCCGTCACCCCGCTCTGCACATCATCTCCCCATCTGCCTGAAGACCCCATGCAGAGTACCCACAAAAGAACCCAGAGCCACCCTGGGAGTTCCCACCGCACAGGTCTCCCACCCTTTCCTCCACAGGCAAGCAGCTCTGCCAGGCAGGAGAGCCAGGCCCCCACCACGAGACCTGTGGCAATTTCAGGGGCTTTATAACATCCCAGACCTAAGTGGAGTGCACCTGGCTCTGTCAGGACTAGTTCAAGCAGGCCTGTCATCAGCAAGGGCCTTCCCAGGTCAGAAGCAGGTTCTCAGGGGAATCAGTGAGTCCGAAAACCCGTCACTCAGCCCAGGTTCTGGGGCTACCTGAAAGTCCACAGGAACCCAGGTGAGCACCTGTGTGTTGTGAGGCACAGTAGCACAGCCAGTTTGGTTTCAGCTGTTAGCAAACAGTGTCTATTTTGTACATTCCTAGAAACATTAAAATACCATGCCCATTTTGACAGTAGTAGAAGTAATTGCCTACTTCTGCTTAGAAAATGTAAAAGAGAAAAACAATGCTAAGCTTCTTTCTGTTTCAACCTCTAGGTCTAAAATGATTGCCTGTGGAGTCTGTCTGTCTTTTAGTTTATGGTAATGATCAGTGGTAGGGGCTAATTGATAGAACTTCCCTTAAAATCTACTGGTTGGTGTTTTACCAGATGAAATCTATGGGAACAGCTTGATTTCTACTGTGATCGACAGCTGCAACTGCTCAGACTCCAGTGACATTGAGCTGAGTGATGACTGGGCTGCCAAGAAATCTCCTAAAATCTCCAGAGCTAGCAAATCACCCAAACTCCCAAGGTAATCTCAGTCTTCAGGGGTGAGCGTCCTTTCTTGTGCTTCGGAACATGTGTGTTTGTGCCTGCAAACAGAATCCCATTGAAACTGAGCAGAAGAGTCAAGAGCAAGAGCATCCTCCCTGCCTTTTCTTCCAGAAGATTCTATCTGGAATAATTACAACTTCTATTTGTTTTTGTTTTTCCTTTGGGATAGACAAAGACACCCAGTAGAAGTTTGCTACACCCTCAGAACTTCTCTAGGGGTTAGCAATGATGGTGGGTGGCAGAGGCGTGGCCATACTTCCTGGCTAATGTGTTTTTTTCTTATAGTTTGAGAAAAGGAAGAAAAAGGTTCTCCAGTGGATGTAATGTGTTGAAGAGAATGCCAGATAAGATGCCTAGAATGCCATAATTGGGAAGCATCAACACATTGCATCCACTGTAGAATCATTTTCTTCACTAAGATTTCTAGTTTTAATTCTGTGATTTTTTTTTTCTGATGCCATGAAAAACTAAGGTTAAGTTACATACAGATACACTTATCCAAATCGTAAACACCTAGCTCAGTGTGCAAGAGCTATACCAGTGTCTTCCCCCAGTTCAAGATAAAGGAAAGTCCACTTACGCTCCTTCCATTTGATGCCCACTCCCTAGAAATAATCACTGTGCTGACTTCCATTATCAGCTTTGCTTGTTCTTCAACTTCATGTAAATACGGTCAAACAATCTGTTCTCTTTGTATCTGGCTTTTTTTTTTTCTTCTCTCAGTGTAATGATTTTGAGAGTCACGTTGTTGCGTCTATCAGTAGTGTGTTTTTCTTTATTGCTCCATGGTATTCCATTGTAATGATTATACTATACGATTTGTTTATTCTGTTTATCAATCAATGGATATTCGGTAGTTTCCGGTGTGAGGCTATTGTTAAATCCATTATCAACATTCTTACACAAGTCTTTTTGTGGACATGTGTGCTCATTTCTCTGGGGTATAAACCTAGGAAAGGAGCTGCAGGGACAAGTCAGATACATGCTCAACTCTATTAGAAACTACCAAGCAGTCTTCCAGGGTGACTGCACCAAGCGTGAATTCCTCGAGAGTCCCAGCTTCTTCCACCCTCACTGACAGCTTTGTTGTCATTTTTTAGAAATAATTTTACCTTGTTGTGGTAGGTGTAATGGCATCTCATTTTAATTTAATTCTAATGTCTCCAGTGATGGATACTGCTTAGTTTACATGTTTCCTGGCCACTTGGCTATCTTATTTTGTGAAGTGTCTTAAGGCTTTTGCCCAATCTATTATTGGGTTGTTTTTCTTGTACTGAGTTATAAGAGTTCTTCCTTTATTCTAGATTTGAATCCTTTATCAGATATATGTATGGCTGGACATATAGTCCAGCATGTCACATTCTTCTTTTGAGGTTAGTGCTATTTTGTGTCCTGTTCAAGATATCTTTGGTTACCCTGAGGTCACGAAGACCTTCTTTGATTCTCTTCCAGCAGCTTTCTAGTTTTAGCTTTCATGCTTATAGATTAATTTTTGTGTTTGGTATGAATTAGAGGTAAATGCTCATTTTTAAAATATGCAGATATCCAGTTACTCCAGCAATCTGATTAATGTCTTTTTTCATCTTTGTTCTAGAGCTTGTTGAAATTGCATGTAACGTTATGAATGTTCCTACAGTGCTTTTTTCCATTATGCAAGCAGAGAGGACATTTAATGCACGCAGCTAAATTTTTCACTTGTAAACATCCTCCTCAGTTGCCATCTTCCCGTGACTGGACCTCCTCCTGCTGTCCTTTCCCCATTTGGACCCAGCAGCCAGGCTAATTGTCCCAGATCGTAGCTTTAGTGAGCCCAATCTGCCACCCTCCCATTCCTCGGGATCCCAGAGTTTATCAGCAGGCTTGAAGGTGGTATATATGAGACTTAATGCATTTTTTCATAGGATGTTTTAAACCTTACCATACTCATTTTTATAACACTGTCTTTGGGGTAGACTGTCATTAAACCTAGGTGTCTCCATGCTATAAATAAAGGGACTGAGGAGCAGAGATACAACATCCGATCAAAAGGTAGCCAGAGGCTGGGCGCAGTGGCTCACACCTGTAATCCCAGTACTTTGGGAGGCCGGGATGGGCGGATCACAAGGTCAGGAGTTCGAGACCACCTTGACCAACAGGGTGAACCCCGTCTCTACTAAAAATACAAAAATTAGCTGGGCATGGTGACGCATGCCTGTAATCCCAGCTACTCAGGAGGCTGAGGCAGAAGAATTGCCTGAACCTGGGAGGTGGAGGTTGCAGTGAGCCAAGATCGTGCCACTGCACTCCAGCCTGGGCGACAGAGTGAGACTTTATCTCAAAAAAAAGTAGCTGAAAAACTTGATAATTTGATTTAAATACTGCAGATGGTGAAATGCTAGATAAATTTGTTGAAATTCACACTGTGCAGAAGAAATTTTAAAAATCACTGGCCTTGGGTAAGAAATGACATGTTCCACCTGCCATTTTCCCAGGACAGATTGCGCAGGCCTCTGGCAGAAGGCCACACTTGCTCCAACGCAGCAGAGGGTGAAAGACAGTTAATTCTTTAAGTTCCTTACAAATGGATCGCTGGATCTCATTTCAGTATATACTCAGTATATTTCAAGATGAGGTCTTGCTCTGTTGCCCAGGCTCAAGTGGAATGATGCAGTTATAGCTCACTGCAGCCTTGAACTCCTGGGCTCAAGCAGTCTTCCTGCTGGGGCTACAGGCATGTGCCACCACACCCAGTTTCTCAATCTGTTTTAAAATGTGTATTATTCAATGTATAGTTGCCATTCTTTCCTCATATTCGTAAAGCAAAAGCAAGGGAGAGCTTTGTTAAATTAACGCACTGGCTGCAGGGTGAGAGCCCAGCACCCAGGCTGGCTGTCCAGAAGAGGAAAAGGAGTGCTGGAGTCAGGGCCATGCTCACCTTTCCCGACATGGGTGCCTGACCCCTCCTGGCCTTGCCTCCCCAGGATCAGCATTGAGGCCCGCAAGTCCCCCAAGCTGCCCCGGGCTGCTCAGGAGCTCTCCCGGTCCCCGCGGTTGCCCCTGCGCAAGCCCTCTGTGGGCTCGCCCAGCCTGACTCGGAGAGAGTTTCCTTTTGAAGACATCACTCAGGTAGGAGCCCGAAGCTGCCCTGCCTCACTCTCCTCCTCCTGGGGGCAATGCCTGGAGGGCCCCTTTCTACCCACAACCTGCCCTGCTCACTGCCACCACAGGCCTCTGAGCTCTGCTCCACATCCTGCAGGCCGCCCACTACCTCAGGAGCTGCCCTCAAGTGGAGCTCTGGCTCCTCCGCCTGTGCCCCTCAGTTGGTTTTGATCTTGCAGTGACTGTGGGAGAGAACCTCCCACTTCCATCACAGCTGCCACAGTCCAGCCCTACCTGCCTTTCCCTCCTGGCCTCTCAGTGCCCCCTCACCGTCCAGGTGCTGCAGCCACACCTGCTTCTCACCTGCCCCAAGTCTTGCCCTGCCTAGATTGTCACCACCCCACCTCCTCATCCTTGTTTTTGCCCCATGCTTTGAGATAGAACTCCACCACCACCTCTGCAGTGAAGGCCTCCTGCCCTGGCTCAGCCAGGAGGGGCCAACACACCTGGCGTAGAACTCCCTTATGACATTGCTCAGTGACTTCTTTATATATAGGTCATTATAAGCCTTATCTCCTCCATCAGGTTATAAGCTCCTTGCAGGGCTATATTTTGTCCATCTTTCTTTTTGCCCTTCCATACATACACATGCATGCACGTGCATGCACACGCATATATACCTTGGGCGTAATAACTTCTTAAATTTTTTTAAATTTAATTGAATGAGAAAACAGATGATGGGTAGTTTCAGGACATAATGGTATCAATGCAACTGATGTTTTCAGGAGAAATATCAAGGATAAAAGTGGGTTCAGAGTTAGATCCCTTTCTAGGCCTCTTTAAATCACACACCTGTGGACATACTGGGACACAGCCCCACCTTGCCCCAGCTCTATGCACCCCCACTCCCTGCTGCCTGCCTGACCGCCCTGGTTAGCTTCTGATCTTGCAAATGGCAGATGAGGTAGGGAAGGGTGTTTCTGGCAGTGCACATTCGTGGCTTGTTAAGCAATAAAATATTAACATTCTTACTAAGTGACCAATGGAAAATATGGAAATAGATTGTGATTCTTCTTTGTTCTTTTCTTCCCCCCTACCACAGCACAACTATCTTGCTCAGGTCACGTCTAATATCTGGGGAACCAAATTTAAGATTGTGGGCTTGGCTGCTTTCCTGCCAACCAACCTCGGTGCAGGTAAAAATCACGTTCTGTTCTGTCGTTGTCCTAGTTGGAACAAATGAAAACGTCCAGTTTCAACCTTCAGTGGTTCAAAGTAGAAGGTGAGCTTTTAAGACAGCAAAAGATTAGTATGTATTTTACCTCCAAACCTTAACTTCAGCCACAATGATTTCACAAAAATTAGAATTCTCACTCAAAGTGGCTTTTGCCAGTGGCATTTTATTTTGTTTTTTAAAAATCTTTTTTATATTTTTGAGACAGTGTCTCACCCAGGCTGGAGTGCAGTGACACAATCACAGCTCACTACAGCCTTGACCTGGGATCAAGTGACCCTCCTACCTCAGCCCCCAAAGTAGCTGGAACTATAGGTTTGTGCTACTACACTTGGCTAATTTTTGTATTGTTTGTAGAGACAGGGTTTTACCATGTTGTCCATACTGGTCTCAAACTGAGCTCAAGCAATTTGCACACCTCAACCTCCCAAAATGCTGGGATTACATGTGTGAGCTACCGCGCCTGGTCACCAGTGACATTTTCATTTTTTGATATAAGCCCTGACTTATAAAAACAATAGAAATAGGCCAGGCGTGGTGGTTCACACCTGTAATCCCAGCACTTTGGAAGGCCGAGGCGAGCAGATCACAAGGTCAAGAGATCAAGACCTTCCTGGCCAACATTGTGAAGCCCCGTCTCTACTAAAAATACTAAAAAAGAGCTGGGCATGGTGGCGGGCGCCTGTAGTCCCAGCTACTCGGTAGACTGAGGCAGGAGAAGCACTTGAACCCGGAAGGTGGTGGTTGCATTGAGCTGAGATCACGCCATTATACTCCAGCCTGGTGACAGAGCGAGACTCTGTCTCACCAAAAAACAAAACTAAACTAAACAAAAAACAATAGAAATATAAAAATGATAGAAATAGCAAAAATTTGTATCACTGCCCTCATCGATTTCTAGGTACTTTGACTTCTAAGCCTTTTACTGTTTGCAGATTCTTGGTCAACTCAAGGTAGAAAAGAAGGCATTAGAGACTATAAGATGTTAGCTGACTGTTGATACAATTCTTAGTGGTAAATTTTTATAAATTTCATTTCTCAATACCAGATACATATCCTGTCCATGACAAGTTTGAAACATGGAGGAAAACTGAGCAACGGGAGTGAAAGCTGGGCCAGAACACAAACATGTGTTCTGATCTGCACTCCTGCCCAAACGAGTTGCAGTACCTTGTCATATTTACTCAGAGACAGTGATGACATGAAAATGGCAGAAGGTCCCTCCAGAGCAGCTTCTTTCTGTTGGGGAGGTCCCTGTGTGAGTTGAGGAGCTGTGTTGCTCCCCGCCTCTTCCCCGGTTGCTGAATCATTGTGCGCCATACGCGCTCTCTCTGCAAGGCTAGTTCAGCCAGGGGGCTGCGGCCCTCCATTTCGAACATGCTCTGCGTAACCTACTAAAAATGGTTTTTGAGAAATTCTGAATCTGTATATGAGTTGCTTCATACAACTCATACACAGATCCTTTAAAATAAATTATTCTTACAGATCAGATGTTAGACCTATTGCTATGCGGCATTCTCAGAGATTTTTTAAATAGCACTGCATTTGAGTTTTTCATTTGACATTTCTGAGCTCAAAGAAAAAGAAGAATAAAAGTAAAACATAAAACTGACTTAGGGAATCACAATAGACCATCCCCGTACATAATACAAATTTCTCATAATATTTTCAACAACCCGGAAACTCTCTGATGACCACAATGCCTGTTGTTCAGTTACTCATTAGTGCCCTATTGATAGATAAGGTTGATTTTTAATAACCACTGTTTGACTCTTATGATTATTCCCACATCAGTAAGCTGAGAACTTAGCCATCTGCCTATGGTAAATATTGAAAAAGGGAATGGAACTGAGAATTTACTTAATGGGTCTTTTCATTCTTGGATGTTGAGTAGGTCCACAAATAAGCCAGTAAAGATCTTAAAATAAGAGCGTGTGAGAGACTTTGAGACACACGCAGGCCTTTTTTGGGGGTGCGGGGAGATAGGGTCTGGCTCTTCACCTATGCCAGAGTGCAGTGGTACCATCACAGCCTGCTGCAGCCTCAAGCGCCTGCGCTTAAGTGATTCTCCCACCTCAGCCTGTACTAACTAGGACTGTCGACAAGGCACATGCCACTATGCCCAGCTCATTTTTAAAATTTTTGGTAGAGAAAGGACCTCAATATTTTGCCCAGGCTGCTCTTGAACTCCTGGCCTCAAGCGATCCCTCCATCTTGGCCTCTCAAAGTGCTGGGATTACAGGTGTGAGCTACCATGCCCAGCCTGACCTTTTTAAAAGAGTGTATTGGTCCATAGAGCTACTTTGTCAAGCTAAAAGAATTGTCCACTTGATTCTATTAATACTAGAGAACAAAAATCTCTTGGATTCTAGAAGGTAGGTGGTACCCCATTAAATGGTCTTTTCAAAAACAATATATGACACTCCAATGAACTTAAAAAGTAAGTGCTATTCCCCACGTTGGATAATTTGTTTCCTTCAGTTAGATCTGGCTCATGAAATGTTTTTATTTTGAATTTTTGTCATTTTAACAATACACAGTAGATTCTACAAAATTCAAAAGATTCAGAGGTTTATACAGTAAAAAAATCTCTCTCATTCTCACCATCAGCCACCTAGTTTTCTTTCCTGGAGATAACTGATGTGATTTTTTTAAATCCCTCCTAGAATGTTTTTTTTTAATTGCTTTGTCAATGTGAACAACAAAGAATAGCACTTAAGTCATATGGAACCACACAGAATTTTTAAACCAAAATTCATATTCTCTTTCCTTTGTGGGGAAGAGAGAGAAACACATGCGTAGGGCCTTTCCTACTGTTGGGTAGGAAAAGTCATCTTAGCCCATACCAGTCCCAGGGCCAGTCCTGCAAAGATGCTTCGACAAAGGCGGCCTGCTATGCCGCGGTCGTGCTACAGGTCAGCCACTAGGTGTCAAGGTGACCACCGTGGAGCTAGAATAAAGAAGCTGTGTGCTACCTGTCTCACAGGAAAGACTCTTGAACACAAAAGCAAATTCACAGGGCAGTTTCATCCCAACTTTACTGTGAAACTTAAATTCAGATTCATTATATTTAAACGTATTTTTCTTCCTCTAAATATTTTAGTTGCAATCTAGGCCTTCTCCTAAATGTCCCTGTTAATCAAATTAAATCTTGAGGTTTAAAAAAACAACTGTGTGGAAATTCCCTATAAATCTCTATCCTGATGATCAGATTAAAATTGAAAGCCAGTAAGCCAAGGTTCCAGCTGAAACGAAGGCTGCGTTTTATTCCGACATGACACCATGCCACCCTCATCTCAACGTTGCTTTCACACGGTTTCTTGGTTGCCCAAGCTTCCCTTCTTTGGCACGCCGGTTGCCACAACTGTTTCCATTCAGTCATCCTTCTGATTGCAAATGAGGTTTTTAAAAAATATATTTTTATATTCTAGCTCATTCTAAAAGAAATGATTTGTGTCTAAAAAAAATTTTTTTTTTTGAAGACGGGGTTTCACCACGTTAGTCAGACTGGTCTTGAACTCCCGACCTCAGGTGATTCGCCCGCCTTGGCCTCCAAAGTGCTTTGGTTACAGGCATGAGCCACCACACCCGGCAAATTTTTTTTTTTTTTTAACATTTGAAATTTGTAGTTCTGTAGACAAACCATTGGCAAGGAGGCCAAGCTAGACCAGGAAGATGCTGTTACTGAATCCCGAACCATGGCTAGTATGGCCGCGTTGAGTACCAGGGAGAAATGGAGAGCCCCTCTGAGCCTCTGGGCCCTGCCTGCACACATCTGCCTTCTGATGGCAGGGAAACTGCAGCCCTCTCTTCCCATGACTCTGTTGACACTTTGGCTCTGCTCTGGTGTGTCTCTGTTAATTGTGCCCTTCTTTTTCCCCACCAGTAATCTATAAAACCAGCCTCCTGCATCTCCAGCCGCGGCAGATGACCATTTATCTCCCAGAAGTTCGGAAAATTTCCATGGACTATATTAATTTACCTGTCTTCAACCCAAATGTTTTCAGTGAAGATGAAGATGATTTACCAGGTGTGTTCACATGTATCAGCTTGTTTGTCACGATCCCGCTATCAGTGGATCGTGCTGGTGGGGGCAGAGTGGTAAGTTGTTGAGGATTTCCGTCTGCTCCCTGGGTTTGGAAAAAGTATTCCTGCCTCAGTAAGGTTGGTAGATGTGCTGGTGGGTCCCAGGAGAAAAGTCATGGATTGGCACCAGCGTTGGAAGGAGGGAGTCCCAGTTCTCACATCTGACTTTATCCTCATAGCTGTCCTCTTAGTTATGTGTCTGGATTAAGATAAGTTTGCAGAACTGATCAGAACTAAATAAAATCAAAACTGACCAATCTCATTGATCTAGGCCAGGCTTCATCCTTTCAACCCTGCTGAGATAGTGTCTCACTCCAGCATTCCCGTGGTACCCACAGAACCCAGTTTCTCAAATCTGCCCTGTGTCCAAGACACAAAACCCTTTACCTGTAACCACCTCTCTTCCTCCGTAATGTGCATGTCTCAGTGCACAGGGACCTGGCCTGCGTTCAAGATAAAATCTGGTATACGATTTTTAAATTCCAGTTTTCAAATGGTAAATATTGATATCTATAGCATCTTAAGTTAATATGTTTCCCAGCAGGGCTGGTGGGGGGGCGGATTTTATTTCAATTAGTAGATTGTAGTGACTTCCAAATTAGTCTGCCAGTTAGCTGTGTGTCACTATTTTCAATTGCTATAGGGTACTTGAAAATAACTTGTTTTTCTAAGTAAAAGTCCACCTGAGATTTTCTAGATACACAGACTCCTCTACTTCCAACCAAGCAGAGCTCTGGAAGTCCCTGGTTTCTAAGCTAGGAGAACCCTGACATGGACCACGACTTCTCCAGTATCTGGATGTTTGTGGCCAGAGGGACTGGTCCTCACAGTGGACATGGAGGGCCACACATTCCAGCTCAGGCCCTGCCCCTCACTTGGGCTCTGAACTTGAGGGAGTTGTTTACCTCTCTCACAGCCCAGTCTTTTTACCTGAATAAAATGATTTCTACTGTACTTTCCAACAGTGGCCATCTTGGTTCTCTGATGGTACACCTCTCCTGCATGGGTGAGCAAATGTCCTAGGCTTATGTGGTCCTAATAGGCCAATTTACAACCACATAAATACCTGTAATTTGGTGAAGCCTCCCATACCTGAGCTTTCTCGTGCATCCCCTGCTATTTCAGAATCTCGGAATTAGAAGTGCTTTTAAACTCTCCCCCAACGCTTTCCCTGTTCTCCCAAAATGTGACTAACACAGCTTTCTCCAAAGTTTAGCGGATGCCACTGTCGTTATTGTCTGTGCTTCCCAATGAGAGCAGGGAACATATTGTCTCAGGGATTACATTTAATGATGGTGACTCAGCAAAGAGACTCTTCTTCCTTAAAGGGGAAGATGCCTGCCGTCAGTGTTTCATACAGATGAGAGAGAACTTCTGGAAGAGGGATCTGAACAGGAGTGATAGAAAACCTGAGACAGACCCAAATTTGTGCGGCCAAAGGAGAGTTATATGTCTCACTAGGTGACCCCAAGGAAGGGCCAGCTCAGCTTGTGACAAACTAACTGGCTTGATACTGTAGTTCTTTTGATGGGAAGAAAACTAGCTTTCACAGTTCATCTGTTAAGTCACACTTCCTAATCATAGACTAGCTGCCACCTAGTACTTACACCATGCCTCCGATTTCTGGATCGGTGGCAGTTTTTTCTGAGCAAAAAGCCACAGAGTAGCACAAAGGGCCTAGAGGAGCCAATGGCAGAGTGCTCAATGGGCACTTTAAACAGGGCAGTGCAGACAGTGGCTCTGAGCACCTGTCTGTAGATTGCTGTTCAGACGCACGCTCTGTTAAACTCCCACTGTGTACAAGGAGGATATATTCACAGGGTTTAATTCAGTGTGGCTCTACCTTACATACTGTTTGAATGCTAAAAACCAGATAAAGGCCGGGCGCGGCGGCTCACACCTGTAGTCCCAGCACTTTGGGAGGCTGAGGCGAGTGGATCACCTAAGTCAGGAGTTCGGGACCAGCCTGGCCAACATGGCAAAACCCCGTCTCTACTAAAAATTCAAAAATTAGCTGGACGTCATGGCACATGTCTGTAATCCCAGCTACTGGGGAGGCTGAGGCAGGAGAATCACTTGAATCCAGGAGGTGGAGGTTGCAATGAGGCAAGATCGAACCACTGTACTCCAGCCTGGGCAACAGAGCAAGACTCTGTCTCAAAAAAAAAAAAAAATTAGGAAATGATTCTTCATGTCATACTCAGATTCACTAGAAGATTCTTTTCATTGTTTTTTCTACTACATTTTACATTGTTCTATTTACAGAAACCTAATGTACAGACATTTCTTACACACATCTGTTGCATGATACTTTCCACGTTATCCATCCCATAATCATGGATAGACCTATTCAGAGACCTAGGCACTGTGAGTCCTCAGTAGAGGTTCTCCCTGTACCATTACCCTCTTCTTGCCTAAAAGGATGTGTATTTTATAAATATAATCAGTAAAAAGCTTCTTCAGCCATGTAATTATCTGTGATGGTGCCATTGAGGCGTTGGTGTCAAGTTCAGAAGGTTCAAAAGTGAGTTTGTTGGAAAGCTCTGACAGTACCTTAGATAACAGACCGCAGCAGGCTACCCTGCAGCACCCAGCTTACTTGTGTGAGAAGGCCAGCTTTCCCCAAGCAGACATGTCTCAGTCTCTGGCAACTGCATTTTGTATACAGAAGGAGAGTGGATGAGTCCCAGATGTATTGCTTATCCTGACCCGGTTTAATGGCAGTGTTTTTGTAAGCAGTTCCTTTTTCTAATTTTCTTCCAGTGACAGGAGCATCTGGTGTCCCTGAGAACAGCCCACCCTGTACCGTGAACATCCCTATTGCACCGATCCACAGCTCGGCTCAGGCTATGTCCCCCACGCAGAGCATAGGGCTGGTGCAGTCCCTACTGGCCAATCAGAACGTGCAGCTAGATGTCCTGACCAACCAGACGACAGCTGTAGGGGCAGCAGAACATGCAGGTGACAGTGCCACCCAGTACCCAGTCTCCAACCGGTACTCCAACCCTGGACAGGTGATTTTCGGAAGCGTGGAGATGAGCCGCATCATTCAGAACCCCCCTCCACTGTCCCTGCCTCCCCCACCGCCGCAGGGGCCCATGCAACTGTCCACGGTGGGCCATGGAGACCGAGACCACGAACACCTGCAGAAGTCAGCCAAGGCCCTGCGGCCGCCACCGCAGCTGGCGGCTGAGGGGGACGCAGTGGTCTTTAGTGCCCCCCAGGAGGTCCAGGTGACAAAGATGAACCCTCCACCCCCGTACCCAGGAACCATCCCTGCCGCCCCCACCACAGCAGCACCCCCACCTCCTCTACCGCCCCCACAGCCCCCAGTGGATGTGTGCTTGAAGAAGGGCGACTTCTCCCTCTACCCCACATCAGTGCACTACCAGACGCCCCTGGGCTATGAGAGGATCACCACCTTCGACAGCAGCGGCAACGTGGAGGAGGTGTGCCGGCCTCGCACCCGGATGCTGTGCTCCCAGAACACCTACACCCTCCCGGGGCCGGGCAGCTCCGCCACCTTGAGGCTCACAGCCACTGAGAAGAAGGTCCCCCAGCCCTGCACTAGTGCCACCCTGAACCGCCTGACCGTCCCTCGCTACTCCATCCCCACCGGAGACCCACCCCCATATCCCGAAATTGCCAACCAGCTTGCCCAGGGGCGTGGGGCTGCCCAGAGGTCCGACAATAGCCTCATCCACGCTACCCTGCGGAGGAACAACCGTGAGGCTGCACTCAAGATGGCCCAGCTGGCCGACAGCCCGCGGGCCCCCCTGCAGCCCCTGGCCAAGCCCAAGGGCGGGTCCGGGGGGGTGGTGACACAGCTCCCAGCTCGGCCCCCACCTGCCCTGTACACCTGCAGCCAGTGCAGTGGCACAGGGCCTGGCTCGCAGCCCGGGGCTGCCTTGGCCCATACTGCCAGCGCCTCCCCGTTGGCCTCGCAGTCCTCCTACAGCCTCCTGAGCCCGCCCGACAGCACCCGCGACCGCACCGACTACGTCAACTCTGCCTTCACAGAGGACGAGGCCCTGTCCCAGCACTGTCCACTTGAGAAGCCCCTGAGGCACCCCCCCCCTGCCTGAAGCTGCTGTCACCCTGAAACGGCCACCCCCTTACCAGTGGGACTCGATGCTGGGTGAGGACGTTTGGGTTCCTCAAGAAAGGACAGCACAGACTTCAGGGCCCAACCCCTTAAAACTGTCCCCTCTGATGCTGAGTCAAGGCCAGCACCTGGACGTGTCTCGAGTGCCCTTCATCTCCCCCAAGTCTCCCACCAGCCCCACTGCCACTTTCCAAACAGGCTATGGGATGGGAGTGCCGTATCCAGGAAGCTATAACAACCCCCCTTTGCCCGGAGTGCAGGCTCCCTGCTCTCCCAAAGACGCCCTGTCCCCAACACAGTTTGCACAACAGGAGCCTTCTGTGGTCCTTCAGCCGGTGTACCCACCCAGCCTCTCCTATTGCACCCTGCCCCCCATGTACCCAGGAAGCAGCACGTGCTCTAGTTTACAGCTGCCACCTGTCGCCTTGCACCCATGGAGTTCCTACAGCGCCTGCCCACCCGTGCAGAACCTCCAGGGCACACTCCCCCCAAAGCCACACTTGGTGGTGGAGAAGCCCCTTGTGTCCCCACCACCTGCTGACCTCCAGAGCCACATGGGCACAGAGGTGATGGTAGAGACCACGGACAACTTCCAGGAAGTCCTCTCCCTGACTGAAAGCCCAGTCCCCCAGCGGACAGAAAAATTTGGAAAGAAGAACCGGAAGCGCCTGGACAGCCGAGCAGAGGAAGGAAGTGTACAGGCCATCACTGAGGGCAAAGTGAAGAAGGAGGCTAGGACTTTGAGTGACTTTAATTCCCTTATCTCCAGCCCACACCTGGGGAGAGAGAAGAAAAAAGTGAAGAGTCAGAAAGACCAAATGAAGTCGAAGAAGTTGAATAAGACAAACGAGTTCCAGGACAGCTCCGAGAGCGAGCCCGAGCTGTTCATCAGCGGGGATGAGCTCATGAACCAGAGCCAGGGCAGCAGGAAGGGCTGGAAGAGCAAGCGTGCCCCGAGGGCTGCCGGTGAGCTGGAGGAGGCCAAGTGCCGGCGGGCCAGTGAGAAGGAGGACGGGCGGCTGGGCAGCCAAGGCTTCGTGTATGTGATGGCCAACAAGCAGCCGCTGTGGAACGAGGCCACCCAGGTCTACCAGCTGGACTTCGGGGGGCGGGTGACCCAGGAGTCCGCCAAGAACTTCCAGATCGAGTTAGAGGGGCGGCAGGTAAGACAGACCTCAGACCGGGTGGCACTGTGGGCCCAGGAGGTGAGGGCCATCAGTGCTTCAGCCTTCAAGGAGCGTTTTTCAAAAGGCCAGATGGGAATTGTGGTAAACAATGAATACCTCTTAGGTGGAGCTCATGGGTTATGATTTTTAGTGTGCCCACGGCTGTCTTGTATTTTTAATGTAAGTCATGCACAGATTGAGAGTATTTAAAGTCAAATGGTTGTACGAGACCTGTGAAGAAATTGAGCTGGCTCCACCCGCCCCGCCACTCACCTTGCCTGCTCTCCCAGAGGCGGCTACTTCCAACTCTGGGTTTCTCTGGGGTTTGCCATCATACTTGTTTTTGAGAAACAGGGTCTTGATCTGTCACCCAGGCTGGAGTGCAGTGGCACAATCACAACCTCCTGGGCTCAAGCAGTCCTCCTGTCTCAGCCTCCCAGGCTGCTGAGATATCAGGTGTGTACCACTACAGCTAATTTTATTTATATATATATATTTTTTAGAGATGGGGGTCTCACTATGTTGCCCAAGCTGGTCTCAAATTCCTGGGATCCTGGCAATCCTCCTGCCTCAGCCTCTCATAAAGTTGGGATTACAGGTGTGAGCCACCGCGCCTGGCCTACCATCATATTTGTAAAGAATGTTTCTACTTGTCATTGACTTTTCTCTTTTTGGCATCAGATGGGGACTTCCTAAGGAGTGCGAGGGTTAGTTTTGCTCACCCTATGCACACAAACACACAAAAGTAGGAACCTTTTCCTTCTCCATTAAATCAGTGGTCACTGGCTACCTTGTTATGCCAGTCAGTTGGACCCATATATTATGGCTTAGCTACATTTCCTTTTTTGCATACTTTTCTTGCCCTGGACATACTAACTGCCTGTTTCCTGACTGTTTGCTCATTTGCGTACTTCTCTGTATAGGGAAGTCATTCCCAAGTTCTCAGAGCAGATAAATCCTCCCAGTGCAGCGGAACACTTTGGGTCCTGAGCTCTTCCTCCTCCAGCCCAGAAGGCTTGCTCTGTCCTGCTGCCAGCTCCCCTCCTTTACCATCCTGCAAATTCCTTTCCCCTCTCTATTTAAATTCATATTTTCATTAATTCACTCAATAAATGTTATTGGGAACCTGCTGTGTGTCTGGCGATACTCTAAGCCCAGGGGTTGGCAAACTGGCCCTTGGGCCAATCTGGCCAGCCGCCGCTTTTTGTAAACAAAGTTTGATTGCAACACAGCAACACTCATTCACCTAAGTATCATCCTGGCTGTTTTGGCCGGACAGCAGCAGAGCTGAGGATTGTGGTAAAAACCATATGACCCACAAAGCCTAAAATACTACTTATTATCAGCTGCTCAGAAAGTTTGTCGACCCCTACTATAGTACTGGGGTCAGGGCAGTGAGGAGGACAGAGTCCCCGCCGCTGTGGAGCACACAGAGGTGGGGGGACCAGAGGCGATGAGTGTGGCCCGTGTGCTAGGGCATGGCGCCTGTCTGTTGGGATATGGGCACAGGAGCTGGTGAGGAGGTGGCTGCAGGTCCCTCCCCAGGCAGCAGTGTTGCACGGCGGCCGTGCCGCTTCTCTTCTGGAGCCTCTGGCCTGCTGGAGCTTCTTTCTGCTTTTCTTCCTCCTTTCCACTCCCCAGGTGAAGAAACCACTTCATTTGGCCTGTAGCATTCCCCACATTCTTTTGTTTTTCTTTTAAATTCAGGGGGTACATGTGCTTGTTACATGGACCTTACATGCGTAATGCGGGGTGGCCTTCTAGTGCGCCCATCACCCAAACGTTGGATGTTGTGCCCCACAGGTAACTTTTCATGGAAGGAGCTGGAGGCCATTGTCCCCACTTTCTGAACCTTGCTCATTGTCTCCATTGTGTTACCACATTCCTTATTTCCTACAAACTTGGAGTTCGATCTAGAAGCTTCACCAGCTTCAGAGTCACTTTCGTTAGCAAAAGCATCCCATAGACTGTGCTGTCTGCTTCCGTCAGAGCCGTGCAGACCCAGCTGTCGTCTTGCCCACCTTGTTCTTTAGTGTCTTTGCTTCCCCTGCCCTCCTCCAGGTGATGCAGTTTGGACGGATTGATGGCAACGCATACATTCTAGACTTCCAGTACCCATTCTCAGCCGTGCAGGCCTTCGCAGTCGCCCTGGCCAACGTGACTCAGCGCCTCAAATGAACAGACAGTTGTGGGGAGGAGAGAGATACAGAGAGCCTTTGGAAGAGGTCTTCGGAGATGCCAGAGGAGCCCTCAGGGGGCCGGATGCCTGGGAGGACCAGAAGCCAACAGCGAAACTGGAAGAGCCCAGCAGGCCCAGGAGAGGACGCTGACCTGTGGTCGTCGCTTAATTGGTTGGGCTTTATTACCTTTTATTGTCTGTTCTTTTTTTCTTGTTTCATTTCAGTGGCATTTGGAAGTAAAGAGTGCCAGACACCTGATATTCCTTCAGGAAATGTAGCTTGGCTGTGGTAATGCTCCACTGGGCCCTTCAGAATGAAGACAGACTGCCTTATAGCCTGCTATTCTTTTAGACATAGGGAGGATGCATTATTGTGCATTCTGTACGACATTTAGCCTTTGTTACTCCTCTGACGTCACCACTAGTGTAAAAGCAAAAAGCTTTTACAAAACACAGCCAAAAATCCTGAAGATACAGGTTCTTAGGGGACAGGGTGGGGATGGCATTTAATTTATGCTAATTATGTTACTCCCCAAAAGGTGACTTAATTAACAAAGGGCGTTTGGGCAGATGCACTGGGTTGGACTGACAAAGTAGGCTCTTAACGGGGGTTCTCACCAGGTAGAAATGAGATTTGTTCATTGAGGATGTTGGGGAGAGGACGAAGGTGAAGAAGACACTGTACATGTGCACAGGTTCACATCCCTCTGCAGACAGCGGTGTGACTCAGCGTGTGACCCGTAGCAGTGGTACAAGGGCTATGCTCCTCTTCTGAGGTTGTTATACATTGAAAGACTCCACTAGTTTCATCATCTGTCAAAGTTACATAGGATCAGTGATGATCATTCAGTATGACTGGTTTTGGGAAAAGGTAAGAGACAAAAATGGGAAGATCCTGGCCTGTGGTCGTGGTAGCAGTTTTCTCAAATAATGTGGTGGGAGTCACTAGATCCCCACATGCTGAGAAGGCCTCTACTCTGTCTGCCCCTTTTATTTTTTAATCTGGAACACATTTCTGTAAACATGATCTTTCCCGTTAGATATCCTGTTCTAGGCCTTCCTATTCTAAAAGTGTGGACGACGCTTGATTGGAAACCCCTCCTTTTGTCCTCTTGGCTACGTTAAAATTCAGTTGACCACAAATGCTTTCTATCAAATTAGAAATGTAACAAAAACAAATTTTAAGAATTCACCAGGGTATTGGCCAGGCGCAGTGGCTCAAGCCTGTAATCCCAGCACTTTGGGAGGCCAAGGCGGATGGATCACGAGGTCAAGATATCGAGACCATCCTGGTCAACATGGTGAAACCCCATCTCTACTAAAA